TTTTTAAATATTTGTTTAGACTTTCTGCCAACAGTTGGGAAGATCACCCAAATAGGGTAGCTTCTCTGCCCCTTTCAGTACGTTTTAGATGGATTTGTGAACAATAAAAGCAAAATAAAAAACATAATACCTTTCAACAGCGGCTCCAGTGTATTCTGAAAATATTCGAAAGGTTTTCCAAAGCGCTAATGTATTTTTTTCTTCGTCTAGTTTGCCCGTACAGACATTTTGTTAAATGTTTGAGAGGCAGGTATGACTCACGTATTTTGCATGAGGCATGTGTACCTACGTGGGTCATAAAAATGACTGGAAATATGATATGAAATTCTAGTTTTCAGTCAAAAGACTTGTAGAGTTTCGCAAAAAAAAAAAAAAATCCTTAGCATATAGTAAGATTGCTAACTTCAAGACAGATTTTTTTTTTGTATTCACATAAATATTATCTTATCTGTAAAGTAAACACCCAAAGGAGCCCAAAACTCAGTCCTGATATATTTCTTTGGTATGTCATTAAGACAAATCAATCGGTCGTCATTCGAACCAGAACAATCTTATTATTTCACGACTCCGTTCCGTTCTTTTTTTTTTTTTCTCCAATATTTCTTAAGGGATTGAAGTGGCACTTTTTTACGGATGATTTGTACAAGAGGCATATTTTACATGTTCAAAAATTGTATAAGTAAACAAAAAAAAAAAAAAAATCTCTATAAGTGGTCGCCCTTCTTTCATAGAAATTCGTGCCCTCCACGCGAAGGCTGCGCGTAAAATATGCATAAAAGTGAGAAACAAGCGCTGTTATTTACTCATATTACAATTTGTATCTTTTGTGGAGGGTTCTTGAATTAACTGTTTCCACTTTCCTTGTATTTCCAACTTAAAAAAAAAAGAAGAAAACAGCAGCAACATCAACCACTACATAGATTCAACTTAGGACCAACAACGACTTACAAGGTTTGGGCGCAATCGAGCTGGTGGTAGTTGAACATAATAAAAACACTCCAAGACTGGGAAAAAGAAAAGACGAACAAACCCTCCCCCCCCCCCCAACCCCTAACCCCTAACCCCTCCCCCCCCCCCCCCCCCCCCCCCCCCCCCCCACACACACACACAGAGGTCTCAACTCGCAACTCAACTTTTGAGACCTCTGTGTTTGTCCGTCCTTTCTTTTTCTCAGTCTTGGGGTGTTTTTACCATGTTCAACTACTCAGACCCAACAATTAACAGCCACGAAACCCATAGAACCAAAAAAAAAACTTCCTGTCTCGTAAAAAAAAAAAAAAAAACTTTTTTATATTGCCAGAAAAAAAAAACCCAACAAAAACACGTATCTTTTGTGTATGGGAAGGCATGTTGAATACTGACAGAAACGTTATAACATGCAACAATTAGCGACAGCTTAAAGGGATACTGAAGCGAAACTTGAAATACACCTGTTATGGTCAGAAATAGCTTTAATATGATCAATGATATCCATAAATCACAATCGCGCGTTTGTATGTTGAACGGATGGCTACATTTTTCACCCTGAGGGGCCCGATTGGGCGCGCGCTCAAAAATCAGCCATCGGAGAGCGCGATGCGTCTTGGGATATTGGGAGCATTCGTGACGTCACTTGTGCCAGACGGGAAAAGCTACGGCGTGGGTGTTGTGGTTACGAGCGTTGCCACGTGGTGGCGCGTCGACGATTTACGACCTGTGACAACGTGACCGTTTGAGATGTGCAATGGCTGCAGGCACGCTGCACCACGGCAAGTCGGCAACCACGGCACCACTGACAAAACCAGCTCTGAGGCCGGATTCTCAAGGCGAACTTACGACGAAAAAAGTGCGTACGACAAATTTGAGAGAAATCGCGTATTCTCGAAACGAAATTGTCGTAACTTTTTCGTAGGTTACGACAGAATCCTACGACAGCTCCGCAGCTGTCTTACCCACTTTGTACACGATCAAATCAACATGGCAGAAAGCGTCGCTCAGTTACTTCGTAGCGACGACCAACGGACATTTATTTTTCTACGTGCTCTTCTCGTGCGTCCCGACTTCAACCAGCTAGAAAAAAAGGAAGGAGCACTTCAAACAGACCAGGATGATCAAGAACGCAGGATCCACAAACACCCGAGAAGAGCTACAACGGCCACGATTCTACCGACCAAGCGAGCTCGGCAGAATATAGTAGGCAGCAACACCGACTCGGCGCACCGTTGCTCCGGCGGTCCTTGGCCAAGACCGTCTGCCCATGACCGGCAGGCCTGCTGAATGGAATATGCCCTCGTGACCCTTGTGGACCCTTGCCGGATGAATAGTTTGATCCCTGAACTAAATTTCAGAGGTCAATCTTTTCCCTTGTCATATCGATCTCCTCGTTTTTCGAGACATCGGTGACGAACGCTGTCATCGAAAAGGGACTCTCATTGATTCTATCTTCTTGTTTTGTGTGATATAGAGCTCAAATAAACGCCATACGGATTACTTTCGCAACACGGTATGTACACTTTGTTATTAGTATGCCATTTTTATTGCTACACGACGCTATGTCACTGTCGAGCTATAGCAGTTCGTGGGAGTTACGCGATGTCGGTCCAGCCTTTCTTTGCCGAGTGTCATGTCAGTATCGAGTTGCAATCGTAAAATATCGGTCCAGACGCGCTTACCGAAACGCGGTCTAACAGAGCGAATCCAGCACTTCGATCAAACGCGCGTGTCCGCTCCGAGTGTGAACAGGTATTTGCGTGGCTCTTGCTGACACTCTTGTAGTTCAAACATATCTTTTTTAACGTCGGCTCGCAGCTCGCAGCTCGCGACTCGCAGCAACTAATATCGGCCGTGCCAGAAGCATGCTCCGGTCGTGTCGTGCAAAGAGTCGCAATGAGAACGAGCTCACTGTGGCCAACTACGCTTTGGCTTTCTCCGCCAAGGCTTTGCAAACGCGATCAGAGGCTAATTCTGCCGGCACGCCGTATTGCCGCAGAACGGCGCTGCTCCTATGCCACAAGTGATGTCACGAGAACTTTCCCACCATCCACCAGATGTGAATTTGAAATCGTTTAATTAGGTTTAAAATTAGTTCTCCTGTGTTTTACAGCGCGATATTGATATTTCCCAGGTGGTGCCTGTCCCAAGCCCATATTTATGCAGAAAGATCGGCGCTAAAATTTCGTTTCCGTACCCCTTTAAAGAACGGCCTGGCCTTTTATGTTCACTCTTGATAGTTCGTGATTAATTCTCCGGCTTTCTTATCGGCTAATGCTGCAATCTGATTGGCCGAGCAGCAATACTAAGATGCTCGGGATTCGCCGTACTCTGCGCTGTCAGTGACCCCAAATCTAGGTACCCCGGCAGAGGGAGAATGTCCCCAGCATGGATGGCAAGCGCCTCACCATTTTGCGAACGTGTGCAACCCCTCATCCTTTGTCGAATGTGCAAAAAACACGACGGGCGCAGTGACGATGCACTTCTGCCGTTGCTTGATTGGCACCATCGAATCATTACCTTGGCTGCGATTCGTATCGACTTACTAAGGAGTTTTCGTAGACCTTTTTCCCACCTCCGCTACGCTCTCCCCAACGAAGACGCCACTAGTGCGCATGCGCGGCACAATCCTTTCCTGCAGAGTCCCCGGAACTCCTACAATCCGGAAAAAAAGCCCGTGCGTCTACTTTCCCGCACAACACTCGGAGAGCCAATCACCGCAACTTACGGAGGCAGCTCAGCGAATGACTATGTCGAAACATACACCAAAAAACACAGTCTGAGTTGTGACCTCAGGCAGTGCAAAACGACACGCTTGCATTGCTTAATGAATGAGTTTTTTTGGCCCAAACATATGTTTCGGCATTGTCATTCGCTGAGCCCCCGTAAGTTTGCGGTGATTGGCTCTCCGAGCGTCGTGCAAAAAAGCAGACGCACGGGCTTTTTTTTCTAAAGGGTGGGGGTTCCGGAGAACGTTGCTGGACAGCGGAAACCAGATACGAGAACTCCCACTTGTGAAACGGAGCACGAAATAACCAGAAAACCTACCCTACGTTGCGTGCGAATAACCTTTTTTTTTTTTTTTTACGATACCTATTTTATCAGTTTTTTTTTTTCCATCGATACCTATTTTAGCAGATATGTTCGGGCAAATCGGTAACCCCCAGTGGAAGGGCTCCGTGTGCACATGTGTGTGTGCCAGAAGGGCTATATGTGCATCCGTCGTTATACATGCCCGTTTCACTTCCCGGACCGGAGCAAGAACGTGAGCGCCAGTTGGCTTGTTGTCGAAGGTGCTCCCCGCCACCTAAGTATACGCTCAGGTCGGAGTCCGCGTTTCGTGAAGTGAGCACTGCAGCTGTGGCCTCCGTTTGAGGGATGAGTGTCCGGAACACATATCTGGGCGTAATAAAAGCTCGCGAGTGGAGCAGCGCTATTAGACACGCAGGTTCGCACGCGAGGGGAACCCTCCTCGTTGTGTAGAGTTCACGGGGGAATCCTACAAATGCTACACATATAGGGGACAAAACTAGGCGAGACGTACAGGCACAGAAATTTCCAGTAAACTGTGCAGTGAGTGAAAGCAAATAATCAAATCCAAGTTAATTACAAAAAGAAACATAAAAGAAATCGTCACGCTAGGCAAGAAACAATCATTTGTTAGGAAACACCATAATATAAACCCCGAGTATTAAAGCATTTCTTTCTTTCCCCGGGGAGAGCAAACAAAGAACAAAAACACGTCGTGGTATGACGTGTTGTTGACACCGAGACGCCATGTGACACCACCCCTTCGCTCCGTGGGTCACATCATGACACCGTGACGTCACGTGACATTACATCATGTGACATCAGGTCACGTGACCTACGCGCGCCAATCACGAACACGAAACCTCAGTTAGCTTCCGTTAGAATGCAATTCTGCATTAAAACGAAACATTTCGTCACCGAGCGTGTTCTTTCAGTTACCTGCCTCTTAAACCTGGACACAACTGCCAGCGATCGAAAAGCAAAGACAGAACTGTACTTACCATAATGAAAGCTGCTTCCGTGGTACTTGAGGAGGAGGAGGAGGGTTCACCAAACAGTGCCTTGTACAACCGTGAGCTCCGGCGGAGGCTGCAAAGTGGATGAGAAAAAATAAAAAAGAAACGCTCATGAAACATTCTACGTTACTGATAAATGTAAAACTAAAAATTGCAAGTGTTAGAAAAACAGAGATGTGAATTCTCTTAATTCATTCAGACCTGCTTGTAGTCGTGCCATGTGTGTTTCTGTGCCTCTCAGGGCTTTATCTCAGCGCGCACAGACAAAAATTTGCGACGGCCTAACAAAATTAATAAAAAAAACAACAACCTAAGCTCACGTGCCCAAATAGCACGTGTGACGTGAGTGCAGTGTTCGCGTGCTCGCGTCCTAGCCTTGGATATGCTTCTGTTTCAGGTGGTAGCTCTTCCCACATCTCTCCACTTTAGCACAGTGAACGCGAAAGAGGAGGCGACCTACCCTGCGGCATTCGCTCCGCTAAAGTGTAAAGAGGTGTGAGGAGCTTCCACTGAATTCTTAACCTGTCACCGTCTGAGGTCCGACTTCACTTAGGCTAAGGGTGTCCAACGGGCACCTTTAACCGCAGTCAAGTCTGATCTTAGTCACACTAACCTGCGATACAGTGTTTTTTTTACAGAGATAGCGAATTTGCTGATTGACTTTGGAAGTTGTGACATCAGAGAGAGAAAAGAATGAGAGAGAGAAAGAGAGAGAGAGAGAGATCTGATAACAGCCCCCTAGGTAACAGGAACGGATTTATGGTTGAGGCTTGAAAGGAGGGGTCTTTAGATTTGCAAAGTGTACGTAACGGACAGATTTAATGCCACGGAAGGACTGGACATTGCGCAGTAGATACCGGATTTTCCGGACTATACAGGTGTAAAGTTGAAATTTTAGCCGGTGCGTATTATCTACTGGTGCGGATTATACAAGATTTTTTTTTTCAAGATGTTGTGTGCTCTAATAAAGCAAGCTTCCTTCAAAGCTTCCTTCAGAGTATGAAAGTTTATTTTCGTGCGGAATATACACGGCATCCGGACTATGCACCTGGTGCGGACTATCTAAACAAACACTTGTATTTTTCACCCCAAATTTGCTTTTGAAGACTATACACCGGGAGCGGTGTTTTTCAAAATTCTGAAAGAAGTTCAAAATTTTGAGCAGATTTTCTATTTTTCATAGCGTGAATGGTCTAAACCAATGAAGAACCGAAACGACAAGAGCGTGCAACAACCAAGCGCGATGTTCCTAATTGTTGTAATTAACCAGCAGTGTTGAAGATGTGAACGCCCCACCGATTCATGGGTGTTCCAAGCAAACATTTGAGTGAGAATCACGCGTGAAAGGCCACGTGCACCTATTCAGCCAGTCCTACCTCTAGAATTCTATGTCGTCATTATTCGACGCTCTAGACCAATGTCGTCACTGAACGCTCGTATTTGACCGTGATATGCAAGCCTTTCGAATCGGCATTTGGTTTTTTTCGTGCTCTTGCAGTGCCCCTGTCGTCCGTGGCATGCCTCACTGCCTTTTCATATGCCTTTACATTAGGGAATTAAGTCGGGGAAAAGCAAACGCGCAGATACTGTATTGCTGCTGCTTTCTTTTGGAAAAAAACATATTTCAGGAGCTGCTCTGCCCGCCACCCCTTTCCTTCTCTGGTGGCGTATTTCCCCAGAAAACATCCGGCCCCCTTGCTTGACAACGCGGGATAATCTCTGTTCTGCTATTTTGGAACAATACTCCTCGAGAAGAATGTCTGGAAATGCGTTGTCCAGTGCTCTTGAAAGAAAAAAGATTAAACTGCATCCGAGTCAGAAGAAATAAATTTAAAATATTTCCTCAACCCTGCGCAATATGGGTTCGGTAACGATGGATCCTGTTCGCCAAAGGCCACACAAAACGCAGTTAAGCACATCTCATCACAGTGGTTACGACTTCACGCAAAAGCAAACTACTATGGCCCGATCAACAGAAGTGGACGACCTCTCCAAAATCAGGAGGACGGAATCACATCAACCATTAACTGTTAACCGATGAACTTCACCATTTCATAAACAGCGAAACCGGTGGGCTGTTTCTTTTAGAGCGCAGCTCTTAGGCGCCCGTTCCCGGCTTGAGTGGCGTCGGCGTAACCGTAAGGTCACGTGACCCCCAGGTCACGTGACCCCTCAGTACCGTTCCCCTCAGTACCCGCCCCTCAGTACCCGCCCCTCAGCACCCTTCCCTCCTCCTCCTCAAGAGCTGCGCTCCAATTCGGCATTACAGGGAGTTGTAAACGGCTTTCATTTTTTATTCATATCTAAAGAGGCTGCTCATTATGCTTAACCTTTCCGTCACTCAACGACCACGATTTACTGCCTGATGGAATTGAAAAGTAATTTCGAGTATTTCAGAAGTAATTGTAATATAATGTAATTACTTTTAGTCTGCGGTAATTTGTGATGTAATTTATTTACATGCGGGTACTTATAAGGAAAGTGATGAGTAATATAATTTAATTACTGTTGAAAAGTAATTTTTCTATCTCAGAGCACTATGCATAACCTCGGTGGAAGAGCGTTGGGAGGTGCGTGGCGCTAGATCGTTTTGCTGGCTGTTGTGCTCTGCCACTAAACAATCAGATGAAGACTGGCAACAGCTCGAACTGTGTCATTGTATTTTCAGAAATTAACTCCCCAGGGATGGGCAAAGTGCTTGCAATAATGTATTGAAATACAAATACAAAATACTTCGACAAAAGTGTATTTAATTACAAATTCAATTACACTTTTAATTTAAATGCAGAATACAAATACAACGAGAGTATTTGGTTATCTTCAAATTCTTTTACAAAGATAATTTTTTCCCGTAGATTGACACTTTAGACTTAAGTTTAACCTATGTAAGAAGAAAAAAACTTCCCAAATAATGAGCGGAATCTACGTATAAGAACCAAGAGCTTAAAAAAAATGTTGCACCTCTAAAAATAAAATTAGTTTGTCATGACATGATAGGGGGGACAATATCAGGAAAAAAATGTATTTGGAGCGATATTAATTTCAAACGCTGAGTTAATGAATCAAAGCTTTTCCAAAAATTTAAATCGACCATCCAAAGAGTAAGTAATTGTACCCATCTCGTCCATCCCTTGTTCTACTCTTCCATTTTTAACGTGAAACGTTCGTTGGCTGGTCAGGAAAAGAAGGGGGGGGGGGGGGGGGGGGTCACGACATTTAGTTTAGCCCGAAAAATTAACCGCGAAGCTCGACGATGATTGGCTGGTGGAAAGGTCACATAATCAACGCTGATTGGCTGATTCCGGGTGAGTATGGGAAATTCTGGAACACTGCGAGGCTACCTTCATTCCAGGAACTGCTATCAAGTTTATGTGCCACGTGTTACGTTATCTGATGAAGAGCGCCGTGAGCGCAGGAGCGGGGCTCGGTAACGTTCCGGAGACAAAATTTCCCAGGAGTTAGCAACACATTTTTTCTTCTTTGATGTTTATTATGCGCAAAACGTAGCAATTGTTATGCTCTTTGCATATGACTCCCATCGTGAAGAGTGCCCACTATCGCGTTTGATTGTGAAAAACAGTGGCCAAAATTGTATTTGGGAAAGTATTTGAAATGCTAAACTGTCAGTACTTAAACATATTTGACAAATACATTCTTGAATATGTAATTAAAAAAAAAATACAAAAAAAAAAACAAAAAAACACTGATAGTAATCTTAATACGAGTTTATTTGTGAAAATGCTACACCCTTCTTTCTCGAGGCCGCGCCAGCTGGTTTATAGTTTACGCACACGAGCATAATTTAATCGCACTTCTGTAGTAATGTTTGTCGAACATCGAGCTGAAAGTTCGACAAAGTCAGACCTGGTGGAACTCAGACCTTTGCAGGTTCGTAACATCTCTATTAATAGGGAATTTAGTAGCCAGTTCTGAGACCTCCGATAACGATACCCAATAACGATAAGCTGTATGCGCAAAGGCGCCGGCATAGTACCAGGTATCGTTATTGGAGTTATTGGAACGGTCTCCTAACTTCCTAATACTTAATCCAAGGGCCATACCCGTCGATGTGGGTGTGCTGAACGCCGACGACGGGCTCCTCGTTCAATCAAGAGCAGAGCCCTGAACGGACCAAGAGACAAACCTGGGCTAATGAGCTGGCGAGCCGCGGCCCGCCACCGGGAAACCCGCTGGCCGCAGCTTTACGAGGCCATCGGCACTGCGGCCCGGGCAATCTAGCCGCGAGGTTTGCGTGGACAGCTCGAAGACCGAAAATGCCCGCCTCACCCGCTGCGTACACCTAGCCCCATCTATCGTCGGATCGCATAGTTTGCCACGCAACCCCCTACCCCCCTTCAAAAAGAGGAAAAGAGTGGGAAGCACGCGTTGCTTGTGTATGGTGGCGCGCCACGTTCGAGCGTGGTCTCGTCCGTTATCAGTCCATCCAGCCGCCGAAACCGACCACCGCGAGGCGATGGAATGAGAAAGACTGAAGATGGGGGGATAATTCCTCAGTGAATGAAAGACGTGGCGCCCTCTCTCGAGTCTTGCATGAATTTGAGATGACTAAAAACAATAAGGCACCGCAAGGATGCGAGCGTTTTGCTTTGGAATAAAGCCAAATGTTGAAACTAACTGATTAGTTGACACAGGTGGTGGACGTCGGTCGCTTGTCCCTGTACGATCTTAGAATTGAGAGATATGCATTTCCTATGCCAAACTGTGCGTGACTCAGTTGACTGCGTCAACAGAGTGTCGAGACACCTTTAATTCCGAATTGCGGGCCATTTGCTCCATGACACGTCCGCGACAGACTTGCGATGCATTGTTTATTCGCGTAGACATTTTTGTGTGACTTAAATGTTTAGTTTCTACTGCTCTTGTTTTCGTATTTCACAGGACAGTGCACCGCTGCCCAGGCCACTCGGCTGTTGGCAGGCACTTGCATACAAATACTTATACCTATACCCATATACAGGTGCATAGATATTACAGTAAATGTCATCTGTTAGGTCTCCTTATCCAATTCATAGATACAGCCTAGCGAATTTTCCGGATTTATAGTGGTGCGAG